CTATGTGTGGATGTTTGAGAATGTGGTATTTGGGATCAAATAGACATCAGTCTGAGTGAGTTTCACCTGCCATATATCCTGGATGTAATTTGGAGCAAATAACTTGGTCTTGTTATGCTTTGGTTTCCTAGCTCTGAAGTGGGATAATACTGCAGATATCTTAATCATTGAGTCATTAGGAAGATTCAATGAGATGAGAAGGACTTTTATCAGGTACGGTGTCTGACATATAGAGCTGTTTCCTTGTTAAGATAGTGTTCCCTGTATCCTAAAACAGACATGTTTTTGAGAAGCTGTGTAAGAGTGCCAGTGTGGTGAAGGCAGGGCTGGGGATGGCTCATTTGTGGTGGGCAGCTGTTCTGATAGATCTTCATTTCTTGTGATCAATGCTCATGCCGTACCTACTGTCAGATATTCACAAATGAATGAACTGTAAGTTTGGCTGGGAGCCAGTTAAGAGAATATGGGGTCATCGTGAGCACATCATGCTACATGTGCAAGAAACTCATCTTAGAAGGACAAACACTGTGATTTCACTCATGTGAGCTATGCAGAGTAGTCAGAGTTATAGGGACAGAAAGTAGAACAGTTTCCAAGGGGCTAGGGCAGGGGAAGGGAGAAGTTTTATCTAATGGGGCTGAGTTCCCGTTTGGGAAGATGAAAAGTTCTGGAGACAGATGGTGTGATGGCTGTACTTCATGACCACAGAAGTGTGCATGCTTAAAATATTTAGGTCTATGTTACATATATTTTACAATAGTAAGAAAAGAATACATGATGAATAATTTTATAAAGAGAAACTCCTTTAGCTATCACAAACTAGAAGCTTTGTAGCTTTACTGCAGTGTATTTCCTGTATGTCAGGGAATCCACTCATTGATCACAAATGTGTTCTGTGCTTGCTGTAGACTGGGTATTTCTGGGGACTTTAAATGTACTTTAAGTCACAGCCCTCTCACCAGAGAAAAGGGGAGGGAATAGAAGATGGTGCTTAAGCACACACTATGTGCTCCTCAGGATCCCTCACAGGTGCAGAGGAGTGACTGAGGTTGGAGATGAGGGAGAATTCTGTGAACAGAGGCTGGAGAGAAGAGGGAGCTGGTCAAGACGAGAAAGGGCTGGTTCTGGGGTAGCTTGATCAGCCTCAGGAAAGGCAAGTGGATTGAGTAATCAAATGGGAAAATTAGAGACTTATATGGGGGCTTGAACACAAGGCGAAAAGCCTTTAGAATTGAATCAGTAAGAAGCCAGTTTTGAAAAGGAGAAAATAAACAGTCCTCAGAGGCAGGACCTGGTTTTCAGGGAATGAAGCTCACCTGAAGGTGGCTTATGCTTTTCCTCTGTGTGGCTGCTGCACCCTCAGGGGTGTGTGACTCTTTCTCCATCGATGGCCCTGCCCTGATGTGAGTTTCCAGCTCCCCAAGCTCCTGCTGACTGTGTCTAGTACTCTCCCCAAACCATGCTTCCTCCTGGCTTCCGAGTTTGTTTCGGCAGCACACTCTAGACACACCAAAATACTAACAGTTCTTCACCCTGTGCCTTTACCTCAGTCTCTATACAGTAGATATTAAATGATTTTTTTTGAATTAAATATTTTCTTTTTTCTGTTGACAAAGGCCCAGAGGGGAGCGCTGGTGTTAGGGAAACTAGGAGAATAAGAACTTAAAAGAGGCCAGTGGATTTGGCAATGAGATGGTCACTGGCAACTCTTTTGAAAGTGTTTTCAGTACAGTGATAGCAGTGTCTTCTGTGAGACCATAAATGGCTGCCTAGGGACTGTCTCAGTGGCCTGCGGCTGGGAGGGGTACGGCACCTCCCATGAGTCATTTCTGATAGGATGTTTGTTCTTTGCTAGGGCAACAACCTGAAAAGAATCTTTTCATCAAAGGTCACCCAGCTCCTCTACAGCCTTGCTTCTCTTATTCTTCTCTGCTCCCTGGATGGGGATGATGGCCGCTAGCCAGGAGTACCCTGTCCTCCCACCCTGTCCCCAGTAGAGTAACACATAGCTGAACTTCACTGCCTCCTGGAGAAGTCTGAGCCACCTGTTGGGTGGTGTGCCCTTAAAGGCAGGCGTGAGGTAGGGGATGGATGTGAGGAGCCCTGCAATTTCCCTTTTCCCTGGTACATTTATCCAGATTATTTGCCTTCTTGAGTTAATTGATCAACTTTGAAGCATTGTATGGAACTCCTTGTGTTTTCTTCAGTCCATTATTAATCAAAAGCATACCTATCAATGACCCAAGAAATAAAAGAAAAAAGCTAAAGGTTTCATTTTATGTACGCTGTGGTTCTCACTGAGTGTGGCTTTCCACTCAGCCTCACACCCGGGGGCTGATGATGGCATGGACCACTGGCCGCAGCCCTCCTCTAGCCACAGCCAGCCCTCCAGGTTAGCTATCTCTGTCACCTACTTTACTCTGAGGCTCTGGCTCATGGTTTCGGGGCTACATGTCTGCCCAGCCTTGCCTGGGCTGTGCCCACTCGGCCCCATTGGCTTCTTGGAAGAAGCTTCTAGTCATTCTGTTCTCCTGACATCTAGTATTATACCTCTTTAGAGGTCTCCAGATGTGGTTTTGACCTTTGGGAAAATTGTTCTGTGGGCTGCTGGGTTCTGCATCCTTTTCTCTTGGTGAGGGTAAAGTTTAGGATTGGGTGGGATTCAATTTGTTCAGTATCTTAAAGAAAAAAGTGTGATGCAGGCCACGCAGTTTTCCTGGGATCTGTTTTTCCTTTGAAGTCCTTTGCTCTGGCCATGAGCCACTTTAACCTGCTTTAACACCCCAGGCAAGTTTATATGCCTCCTCAAACCACACAGCCTTTACAAGAGACCTGTCCCTGCCTCCCCCAACTGCCCCTGGGAGGTCCCTAAGGCATGGAAGGACATCACATGAAGTCAGGTCACTCAATCAAGCTGGGCCAACCAACTTGTGTTCCAAATACAGTATGAACATGTGTTTATCGGGGAAAAGAGTGATGTTTGGTATCAGGTGTATGGTGGGGAATCTCATCTCTCAGCGAGAGGGATCTTAAAAGTGAGCCATGCCAATTGGTTCCAGAGTCTCCAGCTTTTAGCTTTAGAGCTGGGAAGTTGCTGCCGAGTTATTAAAAGAGGTGTGTGAACCCATGCCAAGCCCTTCCTGTAGAGGGAATAAATGTTTCCTTCACATATAGCTTTCTCAGATGTATATTAGTATGCCAATTAATATAATATAAATTTATTTTAAAGTATAACAGTTCATAAGTTGTTTCTTTAAAAATTATAGTATATTTTCTCAAATCATGGTTATTACTATTGTCAAGCAAATGTACTCAGGTTTCAATAAATCTAGCTTTTAATTCTATTGTCAGCATTGCATGATGTTTTTTAGCCACTCAATTCTTTTACCTGGAGAGTGAGATTTATAATACTAGAATCATCCCACTACTGTGAAGTTTCATGACAATACCAATGACATTGAATATGTTCCACAGCACTTGCAAGAAAACTGTGAGTTTCCTCTTTTTTGAAAACCAAACAGATTTAGCCCAAAAGGCTAAATCACCTTTACCATTCACCAAAATTGTATGCAAGTCCATGGCATGGTCAGCTGAATTCTGTGATAAGCTTATTGTGAAATGTTTACAGCTGGCACTCTGACTTTAGTTTTGATACAGGTGTTGGTTGATATTTTCATTTATGTTAATGAGTTATTTGACAATAAAATAATAAAGATATGTTTCAGAAATCACATTAGTCTGTAACATCATGAGATATGAATATCTTTTTTATGCATTTGAGTAATTTATTTTATTACAAGATATGAATACCTTTACTGAAGTTTTGGTCAATGTTTTTGATACAAGGTCTCACTACGCAGCTCGAACTCACAGTGATGCTCCTGTTTTCAGCCTCCCCAGCTCTGGGATTATAGGCCTGTGCCAGCATGCCCAGACTCGGTGGCAGGCTCAGCATACCCAGGGGGAGGGGCTGGCTCAGTCTGTGATGCTGGGGATTGAATCCTGGTCCCTGTGCTTGCCTCAGCAGGTGCTTAGTACACTGAACTGTCTCACCAGCCTGATAATAATCTTAATTATTGGAAGACTATTTGTTTCATTTTCTTCTATTCAAAAACAAGTACAGGCCACAGGTATAACATACTTGATAGTTTAATTTACATGATGAACATTTGCCCCATCACTTTCTTTTTCTTAAACTCCTTTTCTTTTTTTCTTTTTTTGTATTTTTAGGGAAGGGTTTACAGGGTGTTCAGGGTCTCACTACCAGGTCAGACTTGTAGTGATCCCCCTATCTAAAGCCTCCCAAGAGCTGGGATTACAGGTGCGCGCCACCACGCCCAGTCTCAATGGCCATCTCAGTGCATCCTGGGGGAGGGCTGGCATGGCAGGCCCCAGGGGTTGAACTCCCAGCCCCTGCACCTGCCTGCAGGTGCTTTAAGCTGCTGAGCTATTTGGCTGGCCTGTTTTCTATTTTGATGTGCACATTTCTGAGGTAGAGGATCATAATTTAATGGCTGTATGCAAAGTGTAATGTTTAAATGGAAAATAGTTAATATTTCCCTTTCAACATTTAAAAATTTATACATTTAAATATAAAACCTGCAAAAAAGAGTATATATTCATGCCATGTGTCTGTCACTGTGTTAAGTCTAGATCAAAAGTCAGCAGAAGTTTTCTGTAGGGAGCCCACATTTCAGGATTTACAGGCCATACACTCTCTTTCACCTACTCAGCAATTGTAAAGGAAACAGCGAAAAGCAGCCGGTGACAATGTATAAGTGAGTGGATTTTGTTGTGTTCAAATAAAGCATTATTTACAAAAATGAGGCAATGACTAGATTTAGACCATGGGACATAACTTGCTGACTCTTGATCCAGAAGCTTAAATCACTGTCTGAGCTGAGACAGTGATCACTTTGTAGATTTCTGTGGTACAAGCATTCTATTCAGGGCTGATGGCCGGCTATCAGTGTGATGCCTACACACATGGGTGGCAAAATATCGCTTCTCGGCCTTTTGGCTAAGATCAAGTGTAGTATCTGTTCTTATCAGTTTAACATGGGTGGCAAAGACGTGTAGCCGCACCCTGAGTAGGGAAAGTCCTCGCACTTTCTCCACGTCCTTACTTCTGACTCCAGTGTATGAGGTCCCCCCACCTGAGCAATCCTCCACTGCTTGGTGGACCCCTACTGAGTGTCTTACAGTCTTCCTCTCTACTTGGGGACATCTGCAAGTCCAGGGTGTTCCCTGCACTTTTGATCCACTAACTCTATATTTTTCCACAAGCCCCTTCTCAGGTCTGATCAATCAGTAGGATGAGTCACAGAACTCAGAAAAGCATTTTGTGTGCTAGATTACTGACTCATTATCAAAGGATATAATTCAGCAATAGCCAGATGGAGAGATGCTTAGGGAAAGGTACGGGGTATAGACGGAGAGTCCATGTCCTCTCCAGGTACACCTCTCTCAGCATGTGGAGGTGCTCAGAGGCTCTAAATCTTGTCCTTTGGCTTTCTCTGGAGGCTTCCCAATGTTAGGCACAGTTGATAACATCACTGGCCACTGGTGACTAAGTCTTTCTAATTCTTCCCCATCCCTGGAGGTCTGGGGTGGGGCTGGAAGTTCCAACCTCTAATCACAAGAATGGCTCCCTTGGCACCCAGCCCCCAGTCTGTGGTTATCTAAGGGCTGGCTTTTTAGAAGCCACCTCATTAACATAAACCCTTGTGTAGTTATAAGAAACCTGCTCTGAATAATAAAGGATTCTCTCACCACATAGAAAATTCCAAAGCTTTTCTCTGTGTCAGGAATGGATGGAAGACCAGAAATGTATTCTTATAAATCACAATATCACATACTTCATCATAGTACTCCTACGATGCAGATAAAGTAGAGATGACCAACACCAACAGTACAGATTATAGGGAAATGTAGCTACTTAGGAAGTGGTGGCTTTTGAGTATTCACTGCTTCTGTATTTGACACAAGTTATTTAACTTTAGATTTATATGGCTTATGTTTTAGCAATGACTGCATTTAACAACTTCACGAAATTCTTAGGAGTTTAATCATTGGCTCTCATGGGGCCAAGTGATTCAGGATGGCTGGCTTCATTGCAACACTGGTTGCCTTCCTATAGTAAAAGGTCACCTGAAAGTCTGAGGCATCTAAAAGTGTCAAGAAATGGGAGGCAGCACCCTAACAGCTTTCCACACAACAGTGGCTGTGAGATGGCCTAGTCCAGGTTCTGTTCTCCTTTTATCTTTCAATTTTATTTTATGTATTTCAGGTGTACCAAATGATATTTGTATATACCTATAGAGGCTACAGTGGTTGCTACTATGTTTTGGGGATGATCTGAGAGTCCCAAGGGTCCCTTGTAATCGGAGACTTGGCACCTCATGTTGCACTATTGGGACATGGTGGAGCCTTTGGGGAATGGACCTAGCGTGAAGTCATTGGGCCACTGAGTTCTGTTCTTAGAAAGTAGTTCTCATAGGATCTTTTGAGTTTCACAATATATTGTTACAGTAGGACTGGACTTGGCCCCTCCTGACTACTGGTTGTGGTTTGAGATATAATCACTTGCTTGCCCTGACATGTGTTCTTGACCTTGTCATCTACCATCTGTTATGAGGCTTTCACCAGAACTGAACTGATATAGGTGCCTGCCCTTGAACTGCCAAAACTGTGAGCTAAATAAACCTCTTTTTCTTCCTAAGTAGGCTGTGTCAAGTATTTCATTAGAGTGGCAAAAACTAAGCAAGGTAACATGTGCATCCCCTTTCATGGCTATCTTTTTTTCCTGTTTTTCATCCACTTGAGGAAGAGAGATCTTATCCATCTCCTCAGGTATCTCTTCCTCCTCCTTTTCCTTTTTTCCTCCCACCTCTACTTTCCACTTCCTCTTCCTCTTTGTGGTACTGGGGATTGAACTAAAGGACTCTGCACTAAGCTACATCCCCAGACCTTTGTAAATTGTTTTAAAAATTTGAGACCGGGTTCACTAAGTTACTAAATTGCCCAGGATCTTGCAATCCTCCTGCCTCAGCTTTCCAAAATGCTGGGATTACAGGTGTGTGTTACCATATTGGCTGGCATTAGTTCTTAATATACAGTCTACACAGGACTCTGTGTAGGACGCACCAGAGCTTTGTGTGGGTGTGGATTCTTAGGAAACTCTCCTTCCTCAACCATCTCCATTTCCCCTTCTCTGGATGTCTCTCCCACTTCCTGGTGGGAAGCCACCTGTGGGAAGCCATCAAGACCACTCCTACTTCAGCTGCACTTGCAACCAAAACCAGGGAGACTCATCACCCAGGTGCTTAGACAATTTCTGTTTCTTGGGTTGCAGAAATGTTAGAGCCCTCCCTCCCCTAGGCAGAGAAGAAAGAGGAAGAGAAAGATATGCTTCCCATCCTTTTGTGACCCCTCCATCCTGAGTATAAAGTCAGTATTTTACATCCCAAGAGTTACTTGGCTAAGAGTTTCTCTCATTTCGCATAGTGCTATGTTTTTGAACTAAGCTCTGGATAAACATCAGTTCTCACTAGTTACAAATAGAAAAAATTGTCAGTCTAGGTTTTATACATTTTGTAGTGGCCTTTAGTGAAGAATTAGGTCAACATAAAGAGATCATTGACCCATGCTACATATTTAACTTAGATTTCTAAAAATGTTTAACAAATTCATAAATTTTTATCTAGTTATGTGTTATTGATGGTGGTGACCCCAGCCCATTTGGAGTGTCAGAAATCCATACAACCAGTAAAGGAAGTGCTTGTTACCTAAATTGCTGGTCTTTAAATTTCCTTATTATTTTAAATGTAGATAGCAATATTCAGATGAAAGAAGGATAGTTTTCATCACTCCCAATATCTTTGAGGAGTATATTTGTCCTTCTGTTTTACCTGTACTAAGAAAGTTATTGTTCCACAAAAGGTACGCAGACGAAGAAACTGTGCTCTTTAATGCTAAGGATACATGTCTGAGGCAATGCGTGAGCCTAGAGAAAATTAAATGTATGGCATAGAGTGCCTGACCACTAGTCCATACACCTTGCCTCACACGTTATAAAAGGTGTCAAAATGAACAGTGAGTATATAATTTAAAAAAAATTATTACAGAGAAAGACACACTACCAATGACCTCCCCACCCTGCCAGGGGCTTTGAGCACATTTATCTCATCCTTTTTGCCACTTTCTGAAGCAGTTCTGGAAGTCCTCTTTCCTGAGTGTCTTTATGAGGCATGATCAAAAATATGGTGGATGCTGTTGATGCAAGCCATCCAACACAAAGGCAGGCTTGTGAAAACGTTGTGGTGCATCAGCATCCACCTATTCAATGAGTCTGACAGACACCCTGTGACTTCTTGCTCTTCCCCAGCATCAAAATGACCACAAAAGGCAAACAGTTCATTGTCAGTTCGGGACATTGAGGCTGCCCTGACAGCACAGCTAAGGACACAATAGGGGACTTCCAGAACCACTTCAGAAAGGGGCAAGGACAATAGGATAAGTATGCCTGGGGGAGACAAACAGCACTGTATCTTTTACTGTACATTTTTTTTCTTTCAAGAATGTAAACATTCACCCTACCTTTTGCATGTACCTTGTATGCTCCTACAGTGATTTACAACATGTTTTCTTCCCTCTCTGGAGTCTCTGCTCCTCTCCTAAATTAAAGGGACTCCTGTATTTCCTTTTATCTTTAACCCTAATAAGAATTAAGAGACTTAAAGTTTTTGCAGCAGGTTTCATTTTACAGCAAAACAAAACAAAACTGAGCAACAAGTTGAATTCCTATATCCCCTACTTCCTAATTTTCTTGCTATTAACCTCTTGCATTGATGTGCTGTGTTTGTCACAAATGATGAACCAATCTTGATGTATTTTTGCTAACTAAAGACCATGATTTAATTGGAGTAAATATACAGTCTGCTTTTTTTTTTTTTTTTTTTTTTTTTTTTTTTTTTTTTTTCAAGGTCACATGACTTTAATGGAACACATTCTTACAAAAGGCCAGATTTCACTCCCAGGCGTGCTCTTGTCCTCTGTCTTTTATGTCATGATTTAGAAGATGCAGATGTTATTGCCTAAATATTATTCTATATATTTCCATCAGTGTCAGGCAAACATTTTAAATTGCTACTTAGTTTATTCCATAATTACTGGGTTACAGCTTTAGCTCATTGGCAATTTTGGAAGTGATTTTTTTTTTTTTTTTACTATTCTATGGGGTTTTGAAAAATGTATGTATCATGTATACACCATCCAACATTATACAAAATCATTTTACCTGTACTCTACCTACTCCTCCCCTCTTTCCTCTTTGCAAATTCTTCACAAGGAGTGAAATTCCCACTGTCTCTACAGATTTGTCTCCATCTCCTTTTTCTGATTTCTAGATTATCCTTGCTCATTTGATAGGCCAACTTAACTTGCTTCTTATGATGGTTGAACTTAATTTTCAACTGGATTGGCTGAAGAGACTCCTGGAGAGGTGAATGGCTCATGGGGATCCTGTCCTCAGCAGGGAGTGGTTCCACTGGTGTTCACAGCTGCATGTGCTATTGGAGGGGGCCAGGTTGGAAGTGGGTCACTAGGAGTGTGCCTTGTCTCCCCAGTGTGCTCCCCCTGTGTTCTGCTTCCCAGCTGCTGTGAGGGGAGCAGCTTCGTTCCACTCTGCTCTTTTGCTACCATGATCCTTCCTCGGAGCTGGAGGACCAAGGACTGAAATCTCTGATATCATGAGCGAAAACAAGCCCTTCTTCCTTTGGGTTACATATGTTGGGTATTTGGCCTATGGGACAAAAAACTGATGAATACACTTCCTCTGAATGCTGAAATCCAGTACTTCAAGAATTCTTTTTATTCTTCCATTTTTTTTTAATAAACCAAGAATTCTACACAGTGAAATATACTTAAATCTATTTCCTATATCCTTGAAGAAACTTTCCCTTGAATTTCTGCCCACATCTTCAATTAGGTCTAATAAAGCATGTCAAGGTTGGGAAGCAGATCTGAAGTAGACACTTTTTGCAGGTCTGCTTTTTCTCCTGTAATTGTCTTGAGCCAAGTTTGCCTGCATCTAAATGTGACCCCACTTCTGCAGACAAGGCCTCTGGAAGATGTGTTCTTCCTTTGAGGTTCCTAGGACCTTACTGTGCTGCAGCTTGAGCTAATTGAA